GCTGATTCCCAAGGGAATGAAAGACCATTGGGAATGTCGAGTAGAGATTAAAATCAGATCAGCCATGATCTTATTGAATGACAGAACAGACTCAAAGGGCTGATTGGCCTACTCTTGATCCTTGCTCATGTATTTGCCTTATTATAGTTTTCACTTAATTATCCTTAATTATCTTCACTTGATCATTACGAGAGTCATCTCAGTGGGGATTTGAGCTCCATCATGTCATGCAAATCTTGTGCCACCAAAGTCACCCTTCACTACTATTAAACAGAATAATCACAAAATAAAAATGTTATGTGAGCTGTCAGTGAATCATAAATTGACATTTGTGCTGCTGGCTGCAATCCATTTGATTGTTGACTGGATGTGATCCTTATGATTGCATCCTTACAGAGCTGCATTCGGTGGCTTGCAATGGTACACAAGTGGAATTAATAACTCCTTGCACTGTTGAAAGGCCATGTATATATAATAAGCTGCTTTCTTTTCTCTCTATTGTTTCTCACAGGAGGACTTGACCTAGTTGGTGGCAGGTAGTACTTGCTTTCAATGCATCATTAACAACAAACAGTCAAATCTTGTAGATGTTGCCCATGGTGGACTTAAACTGCCAATAGCATGAAAGGGAAGGACAATAGTAATGTCAGCTGTATTGGCTAGGTTATTTAGATCTTAGAATGTGATTGCAAGCCTCCTTTCAACAGTTAGAAATGGCTGGTCACTGTTGCTCTAGTTAGCTGCAAGTTTTTAGGTACCAAGAATGCTAATGTAGCTTAATTCTTAACATTCTGCAAGTTCATAGAATCCCTACAGGGTGGCAGTACACCATTCAGCCCATTGAGTCCACACTGACCCTCTGATCCCATCCTATCCAGATAAACACCCTACCCTATCGTTAGAACATAGAACATAGAACAGTACAGTACAGCACAGTACAGTACAGCACAGTACAGGGTGTTCGGCCCACGACGTTGTGCCGAACTTTTACCATAAACCTAAGGTCTATCTAACCTCCACCCCTACCTTATACTATCATCCATGTGCCTATCTGATAGCCGCTTAAATGCCCCTAATGAGGCCAACTCTACTACCCTCTCTGGCAATGCATTCCATGCCCCTACCATTCTCTGAGCAAAGAACCTACCTCTGACCTCTCCCCTATATCTACCTCTACTCATTTTAAAACTATGCCCCCTTGTAATAGCTACCTCCACCCTAGGAAAACGTCTCTGGCTGTCCACTCTATCTATACCTCTGATCATTTTGTACACCTCTATCAAGTCATCTCTCATCTTTCATCGTTCTAAAGAGAAAGGCCCTAGCTCTCTCAACCTTTCCTCGTAAGACCTTCCCTCCATTCCAGGCAACATCCTGATAAATCTCCTCTGCACCTTTTCCAATGCTTCCACATCTTTTCTGTAATGAGGCGACCAGAACTGGACACAATACTCCAGATGTGGCCGAACCAAGCTTTTGTATAGCTGGAGCATAACTTCTCGGCTCTTGAACTCAACCCCTCTATTAAGGAAAGCTAACATACCATACACCTTCTTAACAACTCTATCCACCTGGGTGGCAGCTTTCAGGGAACCGTGGACATGAACCCCAAGATCCCTCTGCTCCTCCACACTGCCAAGAATCTTTCCATTAACCCTGTATTCTGCTTTCAATTTTGTCCTTCCAAAATGAATCACCTCACACGTTTCAGGGTTAAACTCCATCTGCCACTTCTCAGCCCAGCTCTGCATCCTATCAATGTCCTTTTGTAACCTGGAGCAGCCTTCCGCACTATTCACAACTCGACCCACCTTCATACCATTTGCAAACTTACTAATCCACCCTTCCACTCCTTCATCCAAATCATTTACAAAAATCACAAATAGAAGAGGACCCAGAACAGATCCTTGTGGTACACCACTCGTAACTGAGCACCATGTTGAATATTTTCTGTCCACTACCACCCTTTGTCTTCTAAGGGTCAGCCAATCTTGAATCCAATCTGCCACATTTCCCCCTATCCCATGCCTCCGTACTTTCTGCATGAGCATACCATGGGGAACCTTATCAAATGCCTTACTTAAATCCATGTATACCACATCCACTGCTCTACCTTCATCCACATCTTTGGTCACCTCTTGTAATCCTATCTTTCCTAATGGCTAATCCACCTAGGTTGCACATCCCTGGACACTATGGGCAATTTAACATGGCCAATCCATGTAACCTGCACATCTTTGGGCTGTGGGAAGAAACCGGAACGTCTGGAGGAAACTCATGCAGGCAAGGGGGGGAATGTGCAAACTGCCCGAGGCCAGAATCAAACCTGTGTCCCTGGCACTGTGAGACAGTAGTGCTAACCACTGAGCCACCATGCCACCAGTTCAGGTGATTATTTTTCACCTTGTCTGATATTATTAATGTAAAAGCAAGTCAGGTTACATCCATACAGGGAAAAACAGAGTTAATGTTTCAGTTTTGATAAATGGTTGCAGGCCTGAGATGTTGAAGGGAATTTCTTGTCCTTCCTCTGGTAGAGTATGCTCTTGTGGTGAGGGCATTTAATGGAACAGTAGGATAGGAACTTGTCATCAACTAAATTAGAGTCATAGAGGTCTACAACATGGAACCAGACCCTTCAGCCGAACTTTTCCATACCCTGCCCAGTTTTCACAATTAAACTAGTCCCATTTGCCTGCGTTTTGTCAATATCCCTCCATACTCATCCCATCCATGTACCTGTCCAAATGTTTCTTAAGTGACAAAATTGTACTCGCTTCCACAACTACCTCTGGCAGCACATGACATTAGTTACAGTAGGAAGGCCTGTAGATGGTATTTCTGCCCTATCCCTAATTGAGACTCTTAAGTGGCCGATTCATAGGTACAAGATTAATCACTTCATCCTGCCTCCACTGGTATTAATCAAGTGGTAGATGCAGGGATCATGACAAGCAAATTCTGTGAGGTTACCTGCAGGATCTGGTGAGGGCTGCCTCATTTAAATGCACTCAGTGCCTGATTAGGGGACTCAGGAGTGGGGCAACTGTGAGCCACCCCTTGCTGTTGCTGCCAAACTTTCTGCTCCACCTTGTGACCACCCAACTGGTGACTTCCCTCCCAGCAGAACATACCTGTGGCTTAGGATCCAGCCATGATCCTTGGCCTCAGATGGACGTCATACTAGCAACAGAAAGTTTCTCATCAGGCAGGACTCCTGCCCAGGGTCCTTTATCCCAGAGAAAGCTTGCTGCTGTCCAGTGACATGCCTGAGTGGCACTATACATAGTGAGCTTCTCCAAAATGAAGCAACATGAATGTGCCACCAGATCTTCATCCAGCAAGAGAGATTCTCATCACCTATATTGGGTCTAATACATTCACCCTGTTTTAGTCTCTACAGATGATGCCTGATCTGCTGAGTACCTTCAGCATGTTCTGTTTTAATTTCTGATTTTATTAATCTGCAGCTAATTGCGCCTCTCTTTTCTTGGCTCCCTATAAATGCTGGACCTATGCCTCATGATCTTTCTGCCAGAGAACTGTATGTGGTACAAGGAAAGAAAATTTAATTCAATAGGGGTGATAGAAAAGGGAATTTCTGCTGGTGATATGACCAAAGTTGTGAAAACTAAATAAAACGAGAGCAAAAAAGCAGGAGAAAAACAGTGCTTGCTATTTATTGTACAGTAGCTGCTAATGTTTTCTCAAGCCTGTCATTTGATTCTGAAGACCACTTTTCTTAGATTCATTAAGAACATTTCTTACAAGGTTGCTGTGTTTGTTTATCAATGGGATTCAATGCAATGTTTGCAGTTTCTTATGAACAAGAAATTGATTGTTTTCAGCTTTGAGTTCAGTTTGCAAAGATGATGTATCTTAGTATTTGGTTTCATAATTAAAATTCAGGTGAGATTTCAAAACTGGCAGACAAATCCTGAATACACAAAATGTGAATTTAAGGTAGTGTTTTGTACCTGAGGCACCATCCTTTATGGAGCCATGCTTCTGCTTATCTATTCCATTGGTTCAGGTAAATTTCAATGATTGGAGAACATCATTCAAAGTGAAACAAGTAATTCTCATAATACATGCCACTATTAATCTTTCAACCAATACCATTTGCAACCTGATTATCATCTTATTTTGCATGAAAGGATTTGCGTAAATGAATTACCTTTTGCCTAATAGACAACAGTTACTGAATTTCAGAGCAAGTCGTTTTCGATATGAAACACTTTCAGATGCTTCTGAGAGATGTGATGCAGTGGTATACACAGGATGATTTGGTGTAATCTTCTACTGAAAACCCTGTACATCCTTTGACTCTAAGAGGTGTGTAATTTCAAGGCCACGGATTCCATTATTCAGGAGACTCTCACAGAAGGCAAACAAACAACAGCTGGTAAGAGAATAAGCAACTACCAGAAACTGCTGTGGAGAAGGGAAGTGTTATATTGATTTGCCAGGGAATATGTCAGTGAAAAATGGGATGGGAGAGCTCTGTTTGGTACCTGCTGTTTGTTATACGAGTAGAATAATTATCAGGCATGAGTGAGAATAATTACAGAGTACAAATGTGAAAAGAGTAATGATCAACTGTTTCAATAACTTAATGAAATTGTACTTAATACACATTTTAGAATACATTAATTGTCAACATAAAATCATAGATTTTTATAGCACAGAAGGAGACCATTCAGCCCATTGAGCTCACTCAAAGATCTGATGACTCTAACCCTATTTTCTAGTACTTGGTCCATAGACATGAAGCTATAGAAAGACAAATGAATATAAAAATACTGTTTAAACATATGCATAATAAATTAAACTTATGCCTTTTCCTTTTAACCTTTTAAGCAGTATGTGTTAATACATATAGAATTATATATGAATCCATTAATACTAGATTAATGGGCTACCATAATGTAACAACTCATACACACTACTTAACAAAGCTAGAAATACATTCCTTAGCTTATCCCGGTTATGTATCTTACCTGCAATGTAGACTGTCCTGAAGTATTTTGACTCTGTAGAGTTCAGGTTAAATTGAGAATCAGCCCAGCAGACAGACAGCAGAGCAAATAACAGCAAAGAAGTCATCATTGTGGCTGCAGAAATTCACTTCACTGTGGGAGAAACTAAAAGAATTTGGGTAAATGAATAAATGAACAGAGATTTCAACAGCTGCAAATTGTCTTGAGCACACTGCAGTCAAATACACAGAGTTATAATTACGTTAATCCACAGTGGAATTTAAATGCATAGATACAGATATTAAGACTGGAATGTGAACTCTTATTGCATTAAAATCCAGTTCTGGTAACATGAGCATTTTCTAGCAACACTGACCCATTTATTACGGTGACCACCAAAAATATCAAGTAAAGCCTTAAATACAGTTTGTACTATATCTAAGAAAGCCATTCAGGCTGTAGAGAGAAGTAAAATGCTTTCCTGTTTCGAGCATTGGTTTGGGATAGTCATATAATATTTGAAATTCCATTTGTTCCTTTGTTTAATTTTGCTATAAAACAACTAGGATTAGGAGAATGAACACATTTTGAAAGTATCAGAAACCAACTCAGCACTGCAATCAGGATTGTGCTCAGAACTGCAGAAATCCCTTTGCAGAATTATACTTCTATCTTTCAAATAGAACAGAAGCATGAAAATAAAATGCAAATCAACTCACCATTTCAAACACAGGCATCACTTGAAGAAGCAACATAGAAGATAATGTAGAAACTGGGTTAGAGTGGACAGTGGTAGCACTGCAGGCACACAGATTGATTTTTCATTCATTTCTAACATAGAATGCTGACGCACAAACTCAGTGTGCTAGGTAGTGTGTCTGCAGTCAGCAAAGCTGCATGCAGCAGAATGGCACAACCAGGCTGAGAACGGTCACAAGAGTTGAGCTAGCTGTCATCGCGAATAGATAATGACACAAAAAAAAGAATCTCGATGCTGCATTGCAACTAAGTGGACTGTATACAGCATCACAAATTTTATATTAGAAACATATTTATACCTATACCTTAAATATCAGTTATAAGTAATTTTCTTGTCACTGTTATTTTGCACCATGTAGTGATGTGAAATAACTTGGAAACATCTTAGCATGCACTGCAGTCCACATCAGGACTGAAATGCCCCATTAAATGCATTATTTCCAGCATTCATCTTCATGTATTGTAGCTTGAAGAAATGTTACTGGACTAGTAATCCAGATACCTGGATAAATACTTCAGAGACGTGGGGCTGAATTTTCACAGCCCCCGAATGATGTAGTCAATGATGACTCAATTGGAAAATATTGCAAGATTGATAAAATGAGATTCTCAACATGGCGTCTGATTTTCCACCCATCGCTTGAATGGCGATATAAGAATCTCGCTAATGAGTGGCAAGAGGCCTATGTGCATGCATTTACACCTTATTATTACCTATTATCATCATATTTATATGCAGTCAGCTATTATCTTATGTAATGGAGAGAAACTATTCCTGACAATAAAGTCAGAGCTGGTACTTGGCAGCTCCAGTTTGCTGCTTGCTCTTCCAGACATCCATCTTGTCAAGCAGTCCCCAACATCTCACGGCACAGTCCATGGGCAGTGACTGTCCCCATCCTTCATACATGGAGGTTGGCATCAAACAAGCACCAACCTCATCAATCATCAAGGTACATCTTCAAACCATTTAGAATACAGTTCTTCACTTCAATACTGCATGTTAGAGCTCACTGACACATTTCATTGTAATTCCTTCCAGGTTGTGTTGCAGTGTGTGGACTGGCATCCATCTCATGCATTGGAGCAGGGTGTAGCTCAAGCCTCCTTACTTATTCTCGTGGTGTAACTCACTTACACCGACTTAGATGTTCACAGCATCTCTGCTTTGCATTTTGTGTATTTCCACCTCATTCAGTACTTGTAGGCTCAGAACATTTCTCCCTTGCTTTGCTGTTTGGTGCCGGCACAAAGCTAGGCAACTTGTCATGGCTGACAGCAGTGATCAGTCAAAGGGGTGAACATGTTACGGTAGGATATGGTGCTAGGACAATGCAGTATGTGCCAGCAAACACACTGTATGTGCTTCAACAAAATGGCCATGTCTGAAAGCCTAATGGGCGTAATCCTTAGTCAAATCAAGGGACACTGTCTTCTGTCAATAGGTGCCAGCTTAGTAAGTCAAGGGTATTGCACAATATTATTCCAGGGGCTTGGACACGGTCCTTCAGGATTTGGGCTACTCAGACTTACGTGGTCCAAATTGCTATAGTTGGGGGGTTGGCCCACAATCAGTCCTGTAGGTCCAGTGCAATCAGCCCAAGGATTGACAAGGGGACTGCACAGAGAGCAGTCAGGGGTCTGGTCACTCACCGGTCAGTGTTGTTTTCTCCAAGTCTGTCAGCGGGGTGTAAACGGTTAGACCAGGGTTCTGTTCACTGAAATGCAAAGGGGTGGAGAACTTTATCGGGAGCCAGCACTGTAAAGGGATGCTTAGAAGTCAATTACGGGGATTGGAGGCAGATCTAAACTGATGGAGTTGTCATGGTGTGCAAGGCAGAAGGATCATGAAGGCAAGATGAGAAGTTCACCGAGATTGCAAGGCTGATCCTGAAACTTGCTTTGTGAAGTGCTAACTTTTTTAAAATATATTCACTAATGGGATTTGGGTGTTGCTGGATCGGCCAGCATTTATTGGCAACTCTAGCTGCCCTTGAGAATGTGACAGTCAGCTGCCCAAGTAAACTGCTGCAGTCTGTTTGGTGTAGGAAAACCCCCATAGAGTATTCCGACACACTCCTGACTTGTGCCTTGTAGATGGCGGACAGGCTTTGGGAAGTCATAAAGTGAATTACTCGCTGCAGGATTCCTAGCCTGTGTTTTGCTCTTGTAGCCGTTGTGTTTATATGGCTACTCATGTTGAGTTTCTGCTCAATGGTTACACCAGGATATTGATAGTGGGGCATTCAGTAATTGTGATACTATTGAATGTCCAATGATGGTTAGATTGTCTTGTCTCTCACTGGAAATGGTCATTGCTTGGCATCTGTGTGACGTGAATGTTACTTGCCACTTGTCAGCCCAAGCCTGGATATTGTCCAGATCTTATTGCATTTGGGCATAGACTGCTTCAGTATCTGAAGAGTCATGAATGGTGCAAATGTCCACACTTCTGACCTTATGACAGACAGAAGGTCATTGATAAAGCAGCTGAAGATGTTTGGGCCAAGGATACTACCCTCAGGAAATCCTGCAGCGATATCCAGTATCATTATAAGGCAATCGCTCATTCCAGGTAATAGTTCAGTGAATCTTTTCTGAACTGCTTCCAATGAATTAACAAGCTTCCCAATGAATCAACATGCTAAGCACCAATGGCTGGAGTGATGGGGTGTAGATTTTTAAAAAAATTCGTTCATGGGCTCAAGGTGTCATTGACCAGGCCAACATTTATGGCCCATCCCTAAGACATTCATTGTGTTGGTAATGGGAGAGGAGTCCTTGACAATAATTTTACTTAGTTGCTGCGAATGGAGGTCTCAGCATTACCAGATCAGTGGTAATCTGGTGGTCCTCTCCTACTAAGGCAAGGACTCTCTTATCGTGGGCGGTAAGGAGATAAATATTGGGCACATCACCACCTGTCCTATTGTGGGCTGTTTACCCTGAAATGAGACAAACGGAGGGGTTGAGTGAGAGTATAGTGGGTAGCACAGCTGTTATTGCTGCTGTATGTGTGGTAAAGGTGGTGAGATATCTCTGAAGAGTGAGTGAGAAGCACAGAGGGCATGCAGGGTTACTGCATTTGGGGTGGGTCTCCACTTTGGTCCCACTCTACTACCCTATCCACCAGGACATCCAGTTTCCTTGTCAGCAAATTGGGGAGCCAAGTTGCCTCTGTCTGCCATCTCCAGGGTAGTTCTTCTTATACTACAACTCTGAATGGGAGTCCCCATTAACAGCTATTCACCCTCCCAGCCAGATTGTTATCCACTCCTTTGTCTGTCTAACTGTTCTTTGCTCTCTTTGGGCTCTATTCCCACCTATCATTTACTCCTTACCCCCTCCCTTCACCCTATCTTCTGCATAGAAACCAACATTTTCCTAGTCACCATCAGTTCTAAGGAAGGGTCACCTGACCCAAAACATTAACTCTCATTTCTCTCCCCTCCCAGTTGCAGTCAGATCTGCTGAGTTTTTCCAGCAATTTCTGTTTTCGTTTCTGATTTACAGCATCCGCAGTTCTTTTGGTTTTTATTCTGAAAGGGAGTTCCTGGGTTATAGCAATTGACCTGCTACACAGCTGGAGTTTAAATATGGCACTAGCACCAGGAATCCCAGAAATTCCCAGCAGTGTTGAGTGCTTCCAACGCTGTCAAGCTTAAGTCAGCACAAGAGTGTTAAAATACAGATGTGATGCATACATAATAAGGTGAGAAGTGGAGAATTGTGTAAGCTAATTTGCTTGAGCACACAGAAAGAAACCTTTTGTGAGAATTCCTGAAATTGACACTTGGTCAATTTTTGGTAAAATTCAGCTCATGGCTTCAAACGTCACAATGCAGTGGGACAATTTAATATTTATAAATATTAATGGATTAATAAATCTAGAATAAAATGTTAGCTCCATTACTAATGATCATTAACCTCCTGGATTGTCATTAATAAAACCATCTCTTTCACAAAATGCCCATCAGACAAAGAAATCTGTCATTCTTACCCAGTCTAGGTGGCATTTGACTCAAAATGCACAACAATGTGTATATGCCTTGACTGTCCTCTGAAGTGGGACTGCTCCAGAGAAAAAAACACAGGGGATATTCAAGAAGATAGCTCACCACTGCCTGCTCAAAGGTACTTAGGGATGGGAAATAAATGCTACCTTTGTCAGTGATACCCAAACCAAGAACTAATGTTTTAAAAGTCACAAAGAAAACGTGTACTAACAAAATAGATCCTAAAACCTCACCATCAAGGAAGTTTGTATTTTTACATACAGATAATTAGTTAAAAAAAACCTCATAACTTTGAATTATTAAAATAAATTTTGCCTTTTACTCAGAAATATTGGGATTGATATTCCCCTGCCAGTAAAGCCAATTTGTTCTTGCCACCATTTGCGCAGA